GGCTTTCTTTTGTGAAGCAGGCAAAGACGAAGTAGCTTTAATACTGAAGGTGCAGTTCAAGATAATCGGTTAGAGATCTTGCTGATCTGAAGTATGCAGATGATGTTATGAGTGGAAGGCGGGCTTTGTTATCCTGACGGCTTGCGTATATAACACAGCTGCGAAAATCGGCTTCTACGTTAATGCTCGGAAGTCAAAAGTTATAAAGTACTAAGCCGGTACAACTGATCTACAAGTAGAACGGATGTGACGCCATTCAGGCGTTAGATTAGTCTAAGCATCTTGACTCCATTATCTCCAGCGATAGCACTATTCGCCAGAGTTAAATAGGAGAGTCATCCCAGCCTCAGATGCTTTTGGAAGCTTGTCAAATATAGAGGCTGAACAAAGCCTTGCCATTTCCACCAAAATCCGTCTCTACCTTGCCTTTGTCTGTCAGTGTTGTTCTACGGCATGGGGGACAATTGTATATACGAAGGAGCAAGAGCGACGGTTGAACTGCATATATGGCAGCTTTGGCATCTACCCCTAATGAGGGTTAAATGACAGGGCCAAATATGGAATGATTCTGTTTTCTTCTGAGCATAAGGGACATCGGTAGATGTGGAGAATAACAAATATAGGTTGACCTTGTTAGACCAATTGGTTGAGCATATACCATTTACTCCAGCCCTCAAGCTTCTGGACTGTGGGCTGAAACAGGCAAAGTTACCAGGATGCCAGCACGGCATGGAGGAACAAGGTGGAGACAGATATGCTTTCAGAAAGGAATATTTCGTTTGCGATGCAGTAATCTGTGTCATATAGCGTAAGCATTATAAAGCTGCAGATGCAGCAGACACAGCAAACCGGAAACCTGTTGCTTATGCAAACGGCCCAAGTTGATGATCTCAATTAGCCAACATACAGCCTTCAGTAATGTTAATGCAAAACTGATTGCTCAGATTTTTCTAACATTAATCTGGGTATGCGACGAAATTTAGGAATCAACGTGAAAGGCATTTCGGACATGGTCGCTGACGTGAATAACATGGATGATGGGACGAGAGAGAAAAACATGAAAACGATAGCGAGTCACGTTTTGGAATCGTTGGAATTGCAACGCGAACTTTCGCCATCAGGAAGACTGTTCGGTTTTCTTGTATACGGAAAACACTTCGGCATTTACGTGACTGGTCTTTACTTGTTCATTAAGTTCATGTATATTGTGAACGTGATCTGCCAGTTTTTCATTCTAAATAGCTTCCTCGGGCCGCAGTACACGTTCTGGGGATTGGAGATTTTGCGCGATTTGGCTTACGGCCGAGAATGGCACGAATCTGGTCATTTCCCGCGAGTTACGATGTGCGACTTCGATGTCAGAGTTCTGGGCAATTTGCATCGTTGGACCGTGCAATGCGTTCTGATGATAAACATGTTCAACGAAAAGATCTACCTGTTCCTGTGGTGGTGGTTTCTGATCATTGCCATTCTGACCTGCATCAACTTCTTCTACTGGCTGTTCGTTTCGATCAGTCGTTCATCGCAGCAGGAATTCGTCGCCCGTTACTTGCGTGTGTCCGAAAATTTTAGCGACAAGCCAGGCGAGAAGCGGCTGCTGCAGCGGTTCGTGAGGAGAATGTTACGACCGGACGGAGTGTTCCTTCTCAGAATAGTCTCTGTCAACGCCGGCGACATTCCTACCACAGATCTTGTGCATTACCTGTGGAGACAGTTTCGCGAAAAGAACCAATTTCCAATTGCCGTATCAGGCGATGAGAAAGCTCTGAATTCAGAAGGCAAAAATTCTGATTACGAATCACCGTCTAAGGAAGAGAAAATGCCTTTGACGAAGTCTTTCGGAATGCGCTGACCAGCGCTCAGCGTCGAGAAGAATCATTGCCAGTGAAGTATGATAATTGCTTCCGATTATGAACTCGCGAAATAGTTAACTGTCAGTGTTAATTTGAAAAGTTATTAAAAGTTGTAAATTTTTAGACGAATGCTGGTAAACGTGACGATTTTTATCCAACGTTGTTTAGCAGCATCATAAATGTAGCATATAAAAGTGTCTCCTGTATCCGGACACAAATCCTCACCGCCTACTACATCAAAAACAAGATGCCACAAATGCATAACCGTTAAAGTTTGCGTTACTGCAACCGTAGCCTGAACCGAAACCGAAATCGAAACGGACACCATCTCTTGAATTTGAAGTTTCCGTTTATCAGAAACTGACTCACAGGCACTTACATCCGAGGTCTTGTGCTTCACCTGTTCTTTTCGAAAGCATCGTAAAATAATACATTTTCGCGCTTACTAAAGCGCAACAACGTATCCGCCCTACTCGCTTAGATTCGACATCTTTACCACGTATTCGTGAAAATGGGTATTCAAAGAGGACACTGGACGGTGAACTCTTGAACTCCAGCTGTTACTTGATGAAGTCGTGTTAGAACAGGCCAGGTAGGAACAGGAAAGCTTTGCCATGCACACCCGAACTATCTGAACTAATTATGAGGTACCTCAATAACATGAGGTTTAAAATGTACCACAGGATCGACATGAGTTTCGGATGCTTTTATTCACCGGTATGATCTGAGCAATCGGACGGGTGTGTTAAATATGATTTATAGCGTCGAATGCGGAGTCTGCGATAAGATATAAGCTGGAAAGACCTGCCGGAAATTTAATATCCGAAGTGAACACTTATCTGCAGTTCGCGTCAGATAGGCTGCTTACTCTGGTATTGCACCACATAACATCTGTGATGATCACCTTCAGTTAGACGAATATGCCATTAATCGTCAAGCATCAGTCAGTGCTCGGTTGTTTAATAAGGGAGCTCTGCATATTTTGACAATTAAGCCCTATGTGCATTGAATACTCACCTGTAATGATAAGTGAAATTTGCGATCTATCACAAATTTGATAAGAACGCTTGATATGGCATTATGATTGACTGAAATAAAATTCTAAGATTTAAACATGTATGTGCTTGATAAAATCTCGTATTAACCCGTCACTCTGTTTAAATTTATGAACGAGTGATGGGGCCTGCTGCCTGCCACATCGAAACTGCGCCTTAAAGACGCTTTGGCGTACGTAGCGAAACGCGTTGACAATGAAGTATTAACATCTATTACTTATGTGCCAACTACGCATCGGCAAATCATCTACAATTACAAGGGGCCTAGAATCAAAAATATGTTACATTTATTCAGGGAGAATTCTTTACTCAAAGTTGTTCGAACTCCGCTGTAGCGCAGATTCAGAGAATGAAGGACCGCCTTCAATATTCTCGACTTTGTCAATTTATCTCTAGTGAGTTGCAATCAACTTCCAAATCAAGTTTTATGGCACCGACTCTTGAACGTACTTGCAAAGAAACTTGATTAATGAACATATTGCACGAAAACCGATATTTTTGCTTTGTAGCCATGTTAAGGGGAGGGGGTGGGGAGAGTATCCCTCAGGATTCTTGCTTTAGTTCTTCCAATGGCTGCCTGAGACTAACAATTTCACGGACATCCGCGGATTAGCGATAATTAGTCAATTTCAGCTTCCTTTCCCCAATTTTTCATCTACTGAAAGCATCCTGCCGTTAAGACCATGAGTCATTTTTTGCATCATTCTGATCAGTTAACCCTGATTGTGCGATGCTGTGCAATCGACTATTGCGCAGTTTCCAAAGTCGCTATAGCTCTTCGTTAGAATAGCGGTCTCCATGCCGTATGACAGGACCAGTGTGACGGGCCAAGATATAGGCGAGATGCCTCGAAAGGAACATTCCTTATTGTATAGACTGCCGTAGATAATGGTGATCTTCCTATTTAGCTCTAATAGACTGTCATTGAAAATAGCGGAACCATGATATTTGAATTTGTCGATTTTGCCATTTCATTTTCATGTAATATCTACGGACGGTTGTGCGAGATGAATTACTGAGTTAAAATTTCTGGGCGCTAAGGAATAACCGGCTTTCGTAGTTACGTTAGCCGTCCTGCCTGTGGAAGCTGGCAGGTGAAAAAGCCCAGTCCCAATGCTATTCACCAAGGCAATATGGTCATCTTATTTCCGGTCAGCGAGGTATCTTGAATGATGCGTCCATTCCAGAATGTGACCGTCCAATTTGCTTATGGCAGCACTGTTACCAATTGAGAAGTTGAGTATATTGTTGAATGGCAAAGGCTAAAATAAGTGTCTCTTTCAGACTGCAAGTTAATAGGAGAACATTTCAGATAACCCTCTCCGACTATCTGCATTCATGATTTTTCGTGCATCTCTAATAAAATGAAAACGATGTGATCAGGCATTAAATGACATTTCAAGATTTCCTGCATCATATAGAGTGCATAGAAACTAGGTTCATAAATTTAAATGCAGCTTTAAAGTCGATTAAGAAACATACGACGGAGCTGAATCTGTCAAAATTTTCCCCTAATTCGACTAAGGGGCGGAATCTACAATCAAATACTTATTTCAGCCGTTTCAGCATGATCCGGGCGAGTGATTTCCCAAGTTGCGTAATACCATAATAGGTGAACATTCGGTTGTCAATCCCTTTAAATAAAAAAATAATTTTCCTACACTTCCATTTTTTTGTAAATTTTGAAGTTCATATTTGAGGAAGGAGGTCCTTAAGGGCAATTCTCATCCGTTCATGTCTCATGAAGTTCAGGGCAATTCGATCATATCATAGACTTTCCTTATGCATAAAACACGGTTTAAGAAAACACAACGCGAAAGATAATGTGGTCAATCGTGTTACTGACCAATACCGACGTTTCGGCCCGTGTCTCACGAGCTTTCTACAAGGTATGTGGGTGGTGGTTTCGTGAATTTCGTTTTCCATCCCCAGCAGTTAATGAGTTCAGAGTCAGAAAGTTTCTTGTTTTAAGTTTTTTTTTCAGTATGACCACCAACTCACGAACGAAGTATTCTATCTTCGACTTGTTTCATGATGAGTTGCTGCATAGCTTTTTGGATTTCTATTTTTATGGCTCAGTCTGTATTAAGGATTAGCGCTGGCATACCCGTATTAAAGAGAAAATCTGGCAACAACTGTGAATACGTAATGAAGGTGCTCAGCTTATTTTTAGGCGTTTCTCCTGCTATGTGATGATACCTATGGCACAGCTGATGAGTATCGGTCATGTTTTCATGTTTCCTTCTTAGATGATTGCAGTTGCAATTCCTTGTACCGTTGCACGGTTCCTCTTGTCAAACAACAAGGTTTGAGCAAATCGCACAAGTAAGTAATACACATTTTGTTCATGTAAACAGTACGAGACCGCTGTTAAACCCGTAGCACAGCCGCATCTCGCATCTGAAGCTGCCCGCCTACCTGGGATGTAGGCTAAGCCTTTTAATATAGTTAAACCAACCTGAATGACGGGTTTTATCTGGTAGCAGAATCATGGCTTGTATATTGCTTTATTCGAGAGCTACATCTTGTGCTGATTATTAGTCAGATACCATGGTGTTCAACAGCTTTTAAGTTACGATAATTGTTTAAATGTAAATAATTGAATCGTAAATAAAAAATGCTCAGAAATACAAACTATTCTTAGCACATTTTACGGCACAGTATACGGTTGTCTATGAGCTTAACTTCGGAGTGTTCCTGCTTCGCAATTAAACAACTGTATGATCAGAAAATGATCTACATGTTACAATAAAGTTCGTGCTGACTTTCGCAGTGGTTTAGCCGCGGTGGTTGGGCAAGTTTTCGATGATAAGTAACGATTGAAATGGCGTAAATGTTTTCGTATGCTTTGCAGTTTATTTAATTCCCTTTAACTGTAAATATGTTTTGAGGTTTACCTCGGTCCCATTGCTTCTTTTCTTTTAAAACCGTGGAAGGAGAGAGATTCCCATTCTGTCCATTTTTGTCTTGGTAACCTGTGGATTCTTTCCCATTTTGTCTTGGTAACCTGTGGCGCCACTTTTCTGACCATTTTTCTGACCTATGGAAATTGCTGAAAATGAGTTCACCGATGTCTTCTTTTGCGGTATTCTTGCAGTTCTATGTAGATCCACAAGCTCCGTGTTTTGCTGTAACCCGGTCTCAGGTGTACGCAGTTCATGAAAGCAACCTATTCATCGCAAACGAAGCTGAAAGCTGTTGAAGCAACAAGATTTGTTTTCACATGCTGAATTTATTTGACGATTTTCCGTCTGAAACGATGCGCCTTTTAGCAATTTATTTTTTTGATCGCTGAATGTACAAACCTTGCACATTATCTGTTTTTAATATGACAATGAAGGCCTTACTAAACGGAACTCCAAAGCTCCGTAATGCAGATATTCTTAGACAGCCGCCATGCGCTTATTTTCTGTCTTTCTCGCACAGAAGAAAACAGCTGGCTGAGGGATGTAAAAACAATGCATCACAAGAGATTGCGAAAATGATTGCTCCAGAGTGGAGGAGTTAGTCAGTGTCGGAGTGTTACACAGAAGGAAACTATGTAGGATTGATTTTAACGTTATTCGATTCATACTGTTTCTGTTATTAGAATTTCATTAAAGCAGCTGATGAGGATCGTGCGGCATACCGCAGAGTACAGAGAAAGTATGAAAATTTTTGCATTCTTACAGATTCTTACAGAAAGATTTCAAAAAGTATTCAAATTTTCCGTTGTACTTTCCTAGAAAAAAATATTGTTTTAAATTTAGGAAGTTACATCACTGAATCACAGGTACAGATGAGACTATTGTTTTAAGATGC